TATTGAATTGAGGTTTATTGGACTAACAGAAAATGTGCACTATACATTTAGAAATAAGAATAGTTAAGATTAATAGGGGGGTGCCCACACTTTTTCCTATGACTGTATTCCATATTACTATGAAGGCTTAAGTTATTCTAGAATGTTTTATTATTTGGTCTAACTTATACCTGACCTGCCTATTGTGGTGGAACCGATGCTGGCTGTTCACTCTAACAATCCTATGAGACACAAAACGGCTGCATTTATACAGACTTTAAATCACCAATTGGTGGACTTTGTTGTTGGTTACACAGCTTTTTATGTAGTCGGGGTGAAGAGGCTGAATTGAAGTGAATGCTGCGCTTTTCAAATCTTTGTGTGCAATAAAATCTTTTAACTCATGTAATTTTTCTCCCACTGCATACCTATTTCTAACTTTGTAATAGTCAGAAAAACAACAAAATCTGAGGCTGTACCAAAAAATAAAAACAAAATGAATAAATGAGGATACTTTTGCAAATTATTTGCTGAATGGTCCCTAAATTAGTTTTTTTGGAGATGCTTTAATGCATCAGCAGACCTCTTTCCTAATGACCTGTATGTCTCAGTCTCAAAATGATCTTGTTCATTATCTGTTTTAATGAGGAAGAACATTTCTTTAACGAGCACAGCTGTGAGCACAGAATACCTGGTTTGAGAAACTCTGCATTTAATGAGGCTGAACTAAAAGACAGGATTGTATTTTAGTTTTACATTAGCCAACTGGATAATCTGAAAACATTTTCTTTTATTGAGTTGCCTTTTTCTGAAATTTACCCCCAAAAAAGTTATTTTCATAGGGAGCTCAGCCATTTCTTCAACCATGCACGAGAGGGCGACATACACCTTTAGCTCTAACAGACTTCATGCCTGAGTTGCTATTAATTTTCCAACTGTCTGAACTGAATAAGCAGCACTTTTTTAAGGCGACACTAAGCAAAAAGCAGCAGGTTTCCATGGAGATAAAACAGTTTGACCTTTGAACTTTACTTGTTTGATGTTTCATTTTCTTTTATCAACACTCAGCAGTCAATGATTGCTCTAAAGAACAGAAAAAGTGTCAGATAACTGAAGACTGTGTCCTTCTGCTTGTGCAGATGTGTGTAACAGCACTGACTTGCCAGAGCTCGAGATTATCAGCTTATTGGAGGAACAGCTGCCTGTCTACAAGCTGAGGGCAGACACCATCTTCGGTTACGATCAGGATGATTGGCTGCACACGCCGCTCGTGGACCCCGACGTTTCCCTTGACCTGACCAATGAGCAGATAGAGGAGACCTTCAAGTACTTCTGTAAGTTGATTACCCGCAATTCTGTCAAATTAAAAGCATACTTTGTAATAATGTTCTAAAGACTGTATTTAGAATCCTTTTATTGATCTGAGTCAGAGATTGTGGGCTTGCTACTCTGATGGTCATCTTTTTTTATTACACTGTGGACACGGTTACCAACACAAACAGTCTGGTTAATGTTTTGCTCAGAAGTTGTGTCTGCTTTCGTCTTATCAAACTGCTTCTATGTTGTCACTGTTTCAGCTGTAAAACGCACACGCTCACTTAAGGAGCTAATAAACACAGACCGGGTGAATAAAAACAAGCCAATGGTTCATGCTGCAAACTGAGTCAACATAAGTTGTTCTTTCTCTCCTTTAATTATTCAGTACCAATTGCTGTCTGCTTGAATAATGACTCACTCTGGGTATCAGCAACCTAAGGGGACATTTTGTTTTAGCACTGTTGGACAACTGGACGGTCAGAGGCCTTAATCAGTCTACAGTATCAAACCATCATATCATAAAAAGTAATAATGTTTATAAGCATTTAGTTATCTAAATAACAGCCCAAACCTCACTCTTTTATAACTGGAATAGCAGCAGAATGTTATAATGTGACCTGCTAGATGAAGGGATAGCGACATGGATCTGCGATGACCTACTGCTCTCAGGTTTAACTAGACAAAGGTTATATTGCTGCTGGACTTTTAACTTTGTTTAATTGGCAGATTAAATTCCATTGGATTTTTCAACTTCTGATAAGCATTGGAAGCAGTTTCAGCTGACATGAACGACAAATCTTTGTTTTTATTGTTGAAGCAGGAACATTGGTTTAACTCTGTTTTGTTCAAATAAAGCTGTTGGATCTTTATTTGCAATTTTTAAGATGTTTTTATTTACACTATTTTTATTTTATTTTATTATGTTTCGTATTTGTATGAAACTTAATTCAAAGAAGGTTTTAGTTAAAACTTAAAGAAGGTGCTCACCTTTTAAATGTCATCAGTAGGGGCGAGGGTTTATCATACGGAAGAGGATTAGGGCCAGTGGGGAAAAAAAAAGTAAACTGATTTTTACATTTTATTTCAGTTTAGTATGGGAAAAAAGTCAGAATTCTGAGAAAAAAGTCAGAATTCGGACTTTTTTATTGTCAGAATTCTGAGAAAAAAAGTCAGAATTCTGACTTTTTTATTGTCAGAATTCAGTCAGAATTCTGAGAAAAAAGTCAGAATTCTGAGATTAAAGTCAGAATTCTGACTTTTTTTCCCATACTAAACTGAAATAAAATTTAAAAATCAGTTTATTTATTTATTTATTTTTTTCCACAGGCCCTAATCCTCTTCCGTATTATCATGATGTATTGTCTAAACAAAAAATTATAATTACCGAGGATTAAAAACTCCAAAACAGTTCCCAAAAAGTCAAAACTTTAATTTTATTTCTTTTTTCCCATTGGATCATTGAAAATTTGAAGATATGATTAAATGTGGTTTCTATAGGATGTTTAGTAATATAGATTATACTGGTGTCTTGAAGAAGCCTATTTTTAATTAGTGTATTTTTATGAGCATTTTCTTTTTTGTTTTGGGGATATGATTGTTGTAGGATGCAATCACAGCCCAACAGTTACCTAAGAAAAGACTATATTTGGAGAGTTTATTTTTTATTTTTTAAATCTTTTATTTTTTTATATCTATACCAGCATCTTATATTTACAAATAGTGTGGTTGTTGTTGCTATTCTCTTTTTTCCAAAAGGCTGCCGTCATCCCAGATCCAGCAGGTTCTGTCATTGACATTTCAAAAGGATGAAACAAAGCAAATATGCTGTACTCCATGACCCTCCTCACCCCCCAAACCCTTCTCTAGCAACACATTATAGGAAATACAAGTTAAATTCTGTTACCTCTGTGGTTCTTCTAGCTTAATCAAACACTCCCACTCATTCACATTATATGTTGGTGTGGCCATGGCTCTTTTCAGTATGGTGGTTCACAGAAAGAAAAAAATCTTGTTGTGTTCACAGAAATCATTCAATCCCAACCAACTCTTTCTTTGGTTTGTCTCAAAGAAAAAAACTTGCAGGTGTTTGTATCAGATCAAATGTATTTATTTTACTTTTACAGCAAAGCTGGTCTATTTTCCTTCACGCTTATCCCAGTTGGGGTCACGGGGGGTGACTGCCTCCCGGCCCTCAATGGGTGAGAGGCAGGGTACACCCTGAATAGGTCACACTCACCTAAGGAGAATTTAGAGAAGCCAATTAACCTAACATTCATGTTTTTGGGCTGTGGGAGGAAGCCGGAGTACCCAGAGAGAACCCACGCATGCCGAGCCCTCTAGTGGGCTGCTCAGAAAAGCTGATAATGTTTATAAAGTGTATTAAATAATGAAAAGAAATGCTGTAAATTTATTAACCCCACAAAATACATAAAGTTGTGGAGTAACTAAACAAATGCATAATCTAACGGTGTTAAAGCTGTTGATTGTCCCTACTGTCCTTTTTACTTCTCTTGCAAGCTGTGCAACTCTAATATTACTTTGTCCTCATTAGTAATAAACCAGCTGACTGCCTTTCCATGAGAGATTTTTTTATACAGTGTTGAAATCCAGTTTGCTTTAAAAGTTAAAACCATTAAAATCTTATCTAACTATAGGTAAACTTGTATCATATTTGTGTTTCCAAGCTGAATAGATTTGGTTTATATATCGTCTTTTTTACAGCCCAATTATTTTTACAGGTTTCACTATTGAGAGGATACTGTACAAAAATGGATTAGTGTCTTTTATGTTGGATTTGTAATTTTTTTTGTAAGTTGTGACATTTTATATGTAATGTCAGGTATTGTTAAATGTGTGTTCAAAACGGATGCAAAACAAAAATGCACTCAAATCTGATGATTATGAATTCCTAAAGGTTCCTACGCAAACAAACCTTTAAATTCAGGTACGTGTTTTAACTAAGGGGTGCTGAGGTATCCCATTTTCCACAGAGAATTATCTTTACCACTTCTGCACAATTATAGTTAATAAGTTCAGTGAAAAAAAAAAAAGCTCAATTCCTAACAAACTAGCATTTAAACGCACCATGTACACACGATTCTGGGAGCTCCCAGGAAGCGTATAATGTGTCCCAAAATGCGTACATTCGTAACCTGATTTGTGTGTTAACTGTCGTTTTGTCTGTGTCTTTGACAGGATTTAATTTAATGGTTTGTATGCATAGGAACCATTTGAAATGTGTAATTATAAGGTATAACACATTTACAAGTACTTGAAATTACCACAGAATGTTCTGTTTTACAAACTGCAAAAAAATAAAAATAAACATCCAGCATTAAAATCTAGTATAATACAATATTATCTCCATAGTTCCCTGATAAGCATTAGTCACCCCTAAAATATAGACTGATCCCTAAAACTTAACATGTCGCTTCATTTTGGACCAGCCACGTCACCTCTGCCAACGCTGCATGGCTTTTCCTGCTAACAGCCTCTCCATGCCAAAAGGAGTCAGTCTGTTACTATAGCAACCACTCGGAAGGACAAAGTGGAGGAGAGGAGGGGGTAACTGCTGACATGCAGCAGTGGGTGGCAGCATGGTGGGGATTCTTCTCCCTTTCTATTGGCTGCAGGTTTCCTCAGAGCCCGCCCCTTCATGTTGTCACGGTTAGCATCATTCTGCTGCAAAACCCGTGACTGCTGCTGCTGCTGCTGCCTGCTCTCTCCTGCTCTCTGTCAGTGTATTTATTGAGTCATTGTAAGAGATGCATGTGTGAGGTCAGTGCTGCCTGTCAGGAAGCAGTGTTGTAACAGGGAGCAAGGACGGAATTTGACCTCAGGGGGACAGTTTCACCAGAACGTTAGACAAAGAAGGAAGACGAACTAACTAGATGAATCTTTGAATGGATCTGAACATGATGGGATTTGCATCTTTTGGTCTGAAGCTCTAGAGTGACAGAGGAAAACTGATGAACAGAAAAAAAGAGACATGCTTGCAGGCAAAGAGGGATGGAAGACCTTCTGCTGTTGGACATAAACACATAGAAGTATTTCTTTTTTTATTTCTCCTTCTGACAGCTGATGACGTGGCCAACATCTCTGTGGGTTGATATGCTAAAATGGCACCGGATATTTAATGAATAGAGCTTCCTACACAGACGAGCTGAAAGGATCTATGATGGGAATAAGAGGAGCTGTGCTAAAGAAATGTGGCCACTGCTGACCACTGAGCATGGGGAAAGCAGAAATGACTGACTGACCTCCAGACACTGTTTGTAATTATTTAACTAAGCGATAACTGAACTCTTTCATCCATGATGGGATGTTGGACGTACCAAAGATGCTAGGGCTAAACATGCTGGGACATTATTGCCTCTTTCTGAAAGAGCAGTGAGGATGAAGAGACGAGGCCACACCAGAGGCCAGAGGTTTGTCAAGGCTGACTACTATGAGTTGGACTGGTACTATGAGGAGTGTACTGATGGTAAGAACCATCCAAACTTTATATCATAGAGCCACCGTTCAAGTTATTTTAGTATGTCTACACAGCAGAAATGACAAGAAAATGCAGATCTATATCTTGCAGATGGACCTAAACCGTAGAGGCAAATCCAATCTGTTTATGTTGATAAATTAGGATTTACATTGAAATGATGAGTAGATTAATTTAACAGCAGACTTTTACTTTTGTCATGGTTGTATCTAAACTTTACCCAATCAATGTTTTGCAATTTCCTGTCTAGCATACCTTTGACCTTCTTGACTAGTTTTTGTATCTCTTTAAGAACTAATGTATCCCAATTTATCCAGTTTTATACACTTTCTGCTGTACTAGTGATTAGACAAGTGTTTGGCTTCTTTATTCATTTTTTCAAGACTATAAAAACAAAATTCTAATATGAGATTTTCAAAAGATCTGCTCCATTTCTTAACTGCTGTGGAAAGATTAGGCAGATTAACAGTACTCCGTTTAACCTTCCTGTTGTCAGCTGAAAATCCTACTCTCCCTGCAGCAGGAATGTACTGCAGATACCTTTCAAGGATTTAAAAACGCTTAACTGACACTGAAAATGGCTGTTTAATCTTTTCTTTTAGTTACAGCATTTTAAAATATTTTATCTCTCAGAAGCTGCACTAACAGCATGTTAGTGCTTAACAGTAGTAGGAGAAGATGTGATATGCAATAATATGCATGCAATTAAATAGAAAATGCTAACAGAAGTTAGCATATGCAGTTTTAATGTGAAATTGTTCACTAATACACATTTCTGATTATCCGTGTAAGTTTCAAATGCCTAATTTGAGTCAAAGGGGAGAAGAAACGATGTAGAGTTTAAAAATCGGAGATTTTAGCATGCTTTTATAAAAAATAAAAAAGGCATAAACGTAATAAAAACAGACCTTCCCATATCTACAAGGGGGTTAGTTGTATCAACAATCAACCTTTCTGTGTTACACAGTGTTGATTAAAAACTATTAAGAATTAGTTACTTTAGAATTAGCTAGATAGCTTATGAAGAAGATGGATAAGGACACTTAATTTGTGGTTTTACATTAACACCATAAATTGAAACAACTAAAGTTATCTGTTGCAGCCAGGATTGGTTTTCCTCCCACAGTCTAAAAACATGACTGTAAGGTTAACGAGCATCTTGTCTCTGTGTTGCCCTGCATAGACTGGAAACCTGTCCAGGGTTACCCTGCTTTTCACCCATTGGCTGCTGCAGATGAGCACTATGGATGGATGGAAGTTTTATCAAGTTTACTGTGCTCTCCCTGTTGTCTTGGTATAGATTTGTTTGCAGTGCATCAACATTTATAATCACACAGAAAAAGCTGAAATCCCACCTGATCTGCAGATAAAAGAAGAGTTTAATGCTGCAACAAGTCTGTAATTAGTATATAAGACAGATTGTTTTAAATTAAACCACATAGAATGTAATTAAACTGGATTAACGGCGCAATCCTTGTCTTTGTGACATTAGTTATCCACTCATTCGTTTAGATTTACTGTCCCACTAATCCCCTTTCTCCAACATCTTTTAAAGCTGCAGATGTGGTGGGATCCATGTCTGGAGGAATAGATAGACGATGTTATGAAGCTGTCCTCTGTGCTTTAATAGAAAACATTTCATTCAAATGAATGAATGACGCTTACACAGCGAGGGGTAATGATATAAAGAAACACCTAAGAAATAGGACCTCTCCTGTTGAGGAGGTGTTGCTGCAGTGGGATGTTTTTATGTAATGCACCAAGGTCGGTTACAACATCATGTAGTTTTATATTACTGTAAAGCCAGTATGTAACTGCATGGGAGGGGATTGATCCATGTGACTTGAGGATGCCTGTAGTGATGGTACCTGCTCAGGTGACAGATGGGACTAACAGCAGACATTAGCGTGGCTCTGGCTGTGTCTGTGATTTGTTTACTGTCTCCTGCTTTGATCGGGTCTCACTGCAGCTTCTTCACATGCTGTGCTGTGTTGATGCTTTTGAGATAAAGCATGATACACACGTCTGAGCATTTATGTATATGTCCTTTTATGTTCTGATGTAACTCCTTAGTTATGGAGGAAGGAAATGGTGCGTTGTAATAGCAACGTGCTTCAGGGATGCTGTGTAGATTTTCTTACGTAATGCTGTGGAACAGTTAAGCACCTTTGCATTTCCAGCTGTATTATTTAACCGCCAGCCAGGCTTTGATTTCTAGTCTTTGGTATTTTCACTTTCTTGGCAACCAGAGGGGATTATGTTTTGATAAATCCCCTCATGGAGGCAGAAATAGCGAACAGCTGATGATATTCTGAGTCCTGCAGGAGGAGGGAGGGGGAAGTAGGTTGGCTTATATTTAGCTCAGTGATTTGCATGAGGCTCCGAGTCTGTTTTTTTTTTTTTTTCTTTTTTCTAAAAGCAGATTGAAACACTGGATGTCACTTTTAGGAGGCTTCAAAAGAACTGGGCCGTATGGGCTGAGCCCAGTCAGAACAAAGGATGGGGTCTGGGAAAAAGGCTGGTCTATTGTGGATATACTGGGGATGTGGGGGTTAGAGGGGCACAGTTGCTCTGTGAGGGACATTTTTAAATAGTTTTGGACTAAATTATCAAGACTGCATAACCTCTCAGTCTGAATGGGTGTTTAAAAGTTGATCTATTCTCATTAAGCATGTTTAAGTTTTTACTTCTTGCTCCAATAAAGTTAGTTTATACTTGAAACACCTCTGTCAGTATAGACTAATCAAAGTCAAATTAAGCCCAAATTTAAGAATAAAAGGAAGGAAATGGGCTGAGAAATGTGACCAGAAAAGCAAAACTCTTCCCCTATACAGTGATTGGTGTTTATTGAGAGCCCTTTTATCGTCTGCAGGCCAACAGAACCGTTCTGTTGGCCTGTTGGGAAAAAAACCTCTCAAGCACTCAGTCATCCTGAACTAAAACCTCTTTCCCAAACTAATTATAACAATTAAGAGCATAACTGATGAGTAAAAAACTGTGATTATGGACTGGAGTTCATAATTAATGGTCTCCCAGGTCTCGTTAACAATAAAAAGCTCTCCACTAATCTCTCAATCAATAAATAAATCTGCATCTTTTACCATTATACAATTTTAAATTAGAAAAAAATAAAGAAATAATTTCAAACAAATGGATTGCATGTCTTGATTTTGGCCCACTAGAGTAAATAATTTAAAGAAACGACTTCTGCAACGGTTTGGGAATTTAGCTCTATCAGCTTTAGACGTCTAGAGATGTTAATGTTTGAACATTGTTCTGCAAAATACCTCCGGCTCATCTAACAGAGAGGATCACTCAACCTCAGTATTTGAGTTTTCTTCCTCATTATCAATTGGATTAGGTCTGAACTTTGACTAGGCCATTCTAACTCATGAATATACTTTAACATAAACCAGACTGTAGGCTTAAGGCCAGCATCCAGCCCAGTCTCAGGTTTTGAGAATTCCTCTTTCAGTCCTTTATTTCAAAATTGTTCAAACTCCCAACAGATTTAGATTATAAATGTTAATTTGTTTAAGAATTTTGCCTCTAAAATGAATAGATAATAAATAACAATAATTATTACAATAGAAGCGGCCGGGATGGGGATCAGTGCCTCCAAATCCGAGGCCATGGTCTTGAGCCGGAAAAGGGTAGACTGCCTTCTCCGGGTCAGGGGGGGTGTCCTGCCCCAAGTGGAGGAGTTTAAGTATCTTGGGATCTTGTTCACGAATGAGGGAAGAAGGGAGCGGGAGATTGACAGGCGGATTGGTGCAGCGTCTGCCGTGAAGCGGGCGCTGTACCGGTCCGTCGTGTTGAAGAGAGAGCTGAGTCAAAAAGCGAAGCTCTCGATTTACCGGTCGATCTACGTTCCTACCCTCATCTATGGTCATGAACTCTGGGTCATGACCGAAAGAACGAGATTGCGGATACAAGCGGCCGAAATGGGTTTCCTCCGTAGGGTGGCTGGGCTCTCCCTTAGAGATAGGGTGAGAAGCTCGGTCATCCGGGAGGGACTCGGAGTAGAGCCGCTGCTCCTCCACGTCGAGAGGAGCCAGTTGAGGTGGCTCGGGCATCTGTTTAGGATGCCTCCTGGACGCCTCCCTGGTGAGGTGTTCCGGGCACGTCCCACCGGGGGGAGGCCCCGGGGAAGACCCAGGACACGCTGGAGAGACTATGTTTCTCGGCTGGCCTGGGAACGCCTTGGGGTTCCTCCTGAAGAGCTGGAAGAAGTGGCTGGGGAGAGGGAAGTCTGGGCCTCCCTTCTTAAGCTGCTGCCCCCGTGACCCGACCCCGGATAAGCAGAGGAAGATGGATGGATGGATGGAATTATTACAATAAAATAGGATAATCCGTTGTGGTAACACAGTGGGGAAGCCCAGTTATTAGCAGAAACATTTACATAAAAGGACATAAAAAATGACAGACCCAAAAATGGCATGCTCATACTGAGGCTTTTTATTAATTACTCTCTAACAAAGAATTGGATGCCAGCAAATATTGGCCATAATCACTTTATTATTATTATTCGCATTATAGAAATCAAGCTCTTCTTTAACTTTCTGACCAACTTTGTCAACATTTCCTTTGATGTTTTGATTATTTGATTATATTTGTTGATTACTTCCAATAAATATTAAACTTTTTTGGCATTTATACCATTTCTGTGTGTGGAGAGTTCTGCAACATTATTGATCATTGAAATAATAAACTAACCGTCAGCAGTTTAATTTGCGAATGGAGTAAACGGCTTCACGTTCAAGTTTTGCTGCCTGATTATTAATTAATTGATTAATCCCAATCATTATTTTATTATCACCATAAGGGTTAATTGCAGCCCTTGTGTGGCATATCCCCCTCAAAGTAGCACCAGCAGAGTGAAACGTGGTGGTAGCATCATGCTGTGATTGCTTAGAACGAAGTGTATTTATAGCCCATTTTCAGTCCTGACCCACAGCAAGAATATACATATTCATTTCCCTACTACTGCT